AATCTAGGACCACATGATACAGCTAAACAACTTATGCCATCAAGGGAGTAGGGAAATATTACGGAGAACTGGCCACACCATTTGGGATTGATATAGATGGCGAGTTAGCCACCTCTTTCTTTCTGCGATGTATACGGTACTGACGGAAGCAGGTGAACACTTCTATTTGGAACCTAGCTTCATTCATGTTGGCATTCATCCAATTTTATTGTAAACATGCAGTACATGTATTTCTAAAGCTGCAGCCCATGAGCAGGTATGTAAAATCCGAAGGCTTGTTGGAAAAAGAACTCACATTATTACATATGACCCTAGGAACTGTCATACTGCTTGGCGCTTTCCTTTTAGAACAGCCTGCCAACCACCTCTCGTAGGTTTATTTTCTTGATAGTTCCGATTTCAGACTTCGGATATTGGGCACACATTTTGTTGTCCAAGCATGCCTTTTATCGATAGCGTACACCGCTTTGAGTAATTTTGATCACGCAACATTCCAAACACGGATCGAATAAAATAAATAGTTCCGAAAAACGTAATTCCAATGGCGAGCTAGCACATAGCACAGCCAATCAAAGAGACCGCGGTGACATCCACATTTTGAAAATGAAGCCCCACACCGCGTACTAAGCTGTACATTCACAGAAAAGCGTTGTGGAAGTTATAACTAATTAATTTTCATCGCTGCCCTATTCAACAAAAACAAGGGCTCTAATTTTATGGTCAACTTAAAAGAGAAGAAGTGGGGGAGGTTAATTTCAAGTGATACATTCTATGAATATATAATCCAATGTTCATTGGATCACATTCAGCCGTGTGCTATTTGTCTCATTAGGATAGCTGAGTTAATAAATCCATGACAGTTGTTGAGTATCGTTGGGATAATGGATTGTGCATTATGGTATAATCATATGTGTTGTTCGTGTCCTGTTGACCGTACTGCGATATCTCAGCTGGTAAACTATCCGCTCGATAAACATGATGTCAACAGTATGATTCCAGCTCACGGTGTTGAACTTTTGAATGAAGTTGATTTTACACTGTACAAGATTCATGGTAGTCTCACCAATAATACATTCTATGAATATATTTTTATGGGGTACTTTTTATTTGAAGTGATACCATCCGAAAAAATGTTCATTATTCCCATTTCACTAGATGTTCTGAAAAGGATCTCATAGCATCCACGTAGAAAGGTGCATGGGTATTTCATCAGGTACATTTGACGTGAAAAAGAACGATGCTGAGAAAGACAGAGAGAGAAAATTTACCTGTAGGAATTACAGCAATTCTCTAGCCAGATCTACGTTGGAATTTGGATAATCCGCCCTACATTATTGATCATAAGATTACTAGGCAATGTTTATTCTTTATGTCATGGTACCGAAATAGTATCGATACAAGAAATATATGGAAAGCAAATGGAGGAAACGACGAAGCAAAAATCGAACCGCGCGCGTACAATCGGCGAAAACCGAAAGTTTATCAAAAACGAGGTCGACGGAAACCTGGCGAAGGTCAGCTCAGTAAAACACGTACGAAACCGAAGAACTATAGCACAGCCAAAATCAAGCATCAGAGAAGACTGTGGTGAAAGTAGATTCAAAATAAATTGCGGAAGTTGTTTATTTCTTGGAGCGATCGAGATCACTAGAGGGGATGTCGTAGACAGGCGGTGAGTGACTGCTAGCGAAAAAACAGCACATATCTGTTCTGGATAGCACTCTGATTCGTGGCTTCAATGGAAACTATACTGGTATCGACTGAAGTCAAAATCTAATAATATCAATGATGGATTTTCTTTGCTATGATTGAACACGACTGAAAACGCGTTCATTGTGTCCAATTTTAGAACATATTAGACAAATTTGCAACCGATCTCGTAGATCGATATGCGTGATGACATTGATATCTGCGAACTGGACTGGGTCGTCTCGCTGCCTAAAGAATTTTACACGTGTTCAACAATTCTGAGGATTTTACTGATATTGAAGTTCTACCGATACCTCGATTTTACAAGATTTGGAGCTTATGCAGTGGGACAGAGATTCGATTGAGTAGAGTTTTTTCGAAAAGGGACATGCGGAGGGGCAGCGTAAAGGTTGGCAACATCTTACCTCACTGTTTTCTTATCACACGCGTTCGTCAGTAATGCCCAATATGTGTTGACAACCTGTCCCTCAGTGTTGATGCTCGGCACTAAGCCACAATGATCACCATGGCAGTGTTCCTCACAACTTATGAGAAGGAGAAATATTATCGATGGAGAGAGAGTCATTAGGGTATGCTGCTAGAGCTAGCATGAAGCATGCCCATGCAAACGGTTAACTAACCAAGGCAATTGGCAGCATACATTAGTTTAAATGAAAAAGTGTTGAACAAATGAACGAAGTTGGAAGATTTACAGAATACAAATAGTTGAAGTAAATCATCGGATTTAGGTGTTGCAATATATGGAGTAAAACACTCCCATCCAACTCCATGACTGACAGAAAGATACGTTTTGGCTAGAACGCTTTGCATGAGCGCAACCAAGAGTATACGAATATTGAAAAAATCAAAAATTCATACTCATAAAGGATGTTTACATTAAATGATCGTGCCGAAGAAAATGAACATCACAGTCATGTTTGGAACAAAGGGTGTCTTCTCGATATGCGTATTATGGCGGTTATTGCTGCTCATCAAGTGTGCGTACCCGGTACTCTTCCACCCAATCATCCTTATACTGGAGCACTCCGCGGTTGGTTTACAGCTATAATCGCATCTGAATCGAATGGAGCCTGCATGGACAAGGAGTTAACTGACAATTTAACTTTGGAAGAAACACCGTGTGATTCTAAAAATGCACTCCCCATCCATGCACGCTCCATTCGATTCAAATGAAATTACAGCTGTAAAGGGTGTCTTCATTTGCGAAAATAGCACCAGATTATGTGAATTACCGTTAGTCTGTACCGTTTGTCCAACAAATCGTAAATAATCGGACTACAGCACCTAAAATTGCCCTCAGTATAATTCGTTTTTCACTGTTTGAGTGAAGGTCTACACTATGTTCTTGTTCTCATGGATACGGATGTAAGTTGGCAGGAAGGTGACGAGGTATACTGTTAGAGAATATCATCGTTTGCAACTCAGTATATCTCGTTTTCTCTAAGATTTTGATTCCGAAATCTGACCAAATCTGTTATTAACAAGTTACTCACACTTACTTCCGGTTATGTTGCTTGAATATCATTAGATGCCATCCTGTAAGAATAGAATGATTGGAAGTGTGCGAACAACTTACGGTTTCTGTATCGCAGTTCCACCAATGGACTTTCCCTGACCTAATGGAATGTGGTTCTCCTTTTTAACCACGAGTCTGAAACATTCTGCACCATATCCATTAATAGGCAAGGGATAAATGAAAGGCATTTTCACTAATTTCCTAATCACAGATAATCGACCAAAATCGGCACATGTTATCTCAGAGACCTTTAATATGAAACCAATTGACCATAACTGTGTTACAGTCATTATATTAGGAATGAATGAACGGTGAGTGTTTTCCACAGGTAACTGAAATCGGTTCGAACTTGGTTTGGTTTCAGATATACTCAAGTATATAAGCACTTGGAGTTTGCCAAACATCAATGGTTACTCTTTTTCCAGCAAGCTTCAGGGGCATATTCTTCGCTTGGAATCTACCGATAGCATTATTGTGATTATGTGAACTGACGACACATAAAAACACAAAGATTGGAGCTAGTTATCATGATTCATGGAACAACTTATTCAATCAGCCGTGACATCGGCCCGCCCTACTGACCGATATAGTTCCATTTCGTAATGAAACTATCAGCAAAATAACCGGAATCGCCCAAGAGATTGCGATCAGCGGAATGTAAATGACTCTGGAAAGCGTGACCCTATGGCGGATAAGGTGTACTTATGCAATTAGTCTATCCAATGAAAAAGAGGTCAAATTATATATGGAGGAGCTTCCCAATTGTATACCTGATCCGACCCACAAAGCACACCACGCTGAAAGAGTACACGGCCATTACCCGTATTAGGCAAACGCGCTAGCCAATGGGACTGGGCCAATAGCAAACAGTAGACCTGTAAATGCCAGTGACGCAATTCAATAATGAGTGCCAAGATGTAAACGTTTGTTCGTGCCCACGGCTGTAATAACTAACAGATTGCTCAAAAGCGCTAGCACTAGAAGAACGTAGTACGTAAAGCTGAGCAAACAATTTGTCCATATAGACCAGTTATTAATTTCCGTAGTTTCTAAAGCCTGTTCAGACATATTTACATGCGTAAAGTTACGTTCACCGATAACCATCTGGGTTTATTGCCCCAGGACTGCTAGGCCTCGTTTTAAAAGCTCACAAATTGTTGCAACTGTCATTCACGACAATAGTAGCTTGTCTATTGCAGTATCTACAGAAACAACAGATGAATCGTGAATTGTAGTGATTAGATCGAAACATGCTTCATTCGATGAGTTCAGTCTTGTTACTGCAGTATTACTTGTTTTATAATCAAATCAAACTTCCCACTACTCCAATGAACAATTGTTTAAACAGTTCCCTAGAAAAGACAATCCAACCAATCGGTGTGAATCAGTTGCACAGTTTGATTGGTTTTCTTTGTGCATTGAGGATAGAGCTTTGTTTAGAGACAATTATAAATATATACAACCCTAATGCGGAGGTTTGTTTCGCGGTCCAGTTCAAGAGTCCATTTTCTAGGAATTTCTTTCGTATGGCGCGCTATTTACACACTGAATAGTGGAACCCCGTTTTGTGTTTCCTATCTATTGACACTATACTTAGACGTAATATGGCAATATAGCCATCATTAAACAGCAAAAATGTTTAAGGTAATTGAATGTTGATCAGAACGGACACAAAGAAAAAGATTTCTCTATGCATCTCCTTTTTGTTCTTTGGTGATTTCTCCTCCATATTGATTCATTCTTACAAGAAGCAGTGCCTCGATTCAAAACTTACTTACATTAGCAGTGGGTCGATCTCCGTAGCACACGCCATATGAACTACTAATATGATGTGCAAATAACCGAAGGTATAAAGTGTCATTCCTGAATTAGAAAGGTAATTAAATCAGTGTTTGGCTTTATTTCATCACAAAGGATGGGCTTTCAGCGCCATGCCCATCGGCACACTATTTATTGCGTATAGCTGTTGACCATACAAAGGAGTAGATAAATAAAATAAATACTTGGTTGGTGCAGCAAAAATACGGGAAGGACAGAAAAATAAGCTAGGAAAAATCTTTCTTGAGTTCAGCGAGTACTAGTGATGAGTTGTTGAGATACCTTTCAAGCTGAGGTAAGACAGATAAACCATGGTTGGTTGTCCTTGGATAGACAAGTTTAATTTACACGTGGTGGTTGAAAAAGAAGCACACCCAATTAAGTGCTAGTGCAGTGGGTGAGTCGAGTTCAATTAGACTTTATTACAAAGTTTGTCCCACGCAGAAGAATGATCCTCTGCAAGGAAACTGGCTACAGTGATGTAGGATATCCCACTGGGTCACGATATAGTAGCTGCTCTTCAGAGACACCGAACTCATTCAAAATATAACTGTGAGCCTAGAACTCAGGTGTGCTTTGCTTATAAACAGACGTCTGTAGTTAGATCTGCCATCGGAATGATGACCGCACCTCAGGAGCTCATCCGATTCCGGCACCAGGTCTTCCACTAGCTATCGGTAGTTTCTGCATCGTAACTCGAATCACCACTCCTTATAGTCACATGAAGTGGCATACAGTCAAGTGAAGTTTTACCTCAAAATACTTATCCACATCCGGGTCAGCTAGGTCTTCTTCAGAAGTCCTACGTGACATATGGGTGATTCCCATGAGTCAGCCAAACAGTGACGCGATAAGTCAATCAAAAGTTGGCCAGTCTCTTTGTAATTCCTTCAGTCGACTGGTTGTTTGAAGCCTGCTTGCTTAATTCAATCTGAAACAGTCTTGCATTGTCTCGTCTCCATTTGTTTCCATAGGGGTTCTGGAAACTGGGCACACTTTGGTTGGTCGGCTCCGGTCGTTGGCTCGTTTGACTTCCCATCTCCTGTCAACTCCACGGGACAACTAATACAGTTATCAAAACAGCAAACACTGTCGTTTTTCTCATTTCAATTGCCAAACGGGAATCGTATCCACTAGGAACCCTCAAGAATCTAAAATATTACTTTGACAGACAAACACAAAATGACAAAACCTTTGATCAGTAAGAATGGTAAGAAAAATAAATGAATAAATTGTTGCATCACACAAGAATGAACGAAATATTTAATTGAGGATTTTTGAAATGTATAATGGTCTCATGTGCAGAGTATACAACATTAGTCACCGAATCATTTTGAGTGCTTTATTCTTGAGCATGCCATCCTTAATTGTTTGCATTCTTTTAAAAATCTCCCGATAAACCCCTACAGTTTGCAGATAAATTGAACAGGTCCACTATGGATGCTATCGCTTCGCACGTCCACTATATAACCAAAATCATAGGATGGACCAGCGAAGTCTTTGAGATGCGCTTTTCCTGACTACACATCCGCTTTTCATTCTATTCTGCAATCTCTCCTCTTCCACAAACTGGATCCCTTCGGCTGTCCCACAAATTTACTGGCATAGTTGTCGGATTATTTTACCAACAAGACTCAGTGTACAGGACCAGGTTTTGAACATTCAAACCCTTAGTGAAAAATTCAGGATTGCTTCCGTCTACATTATTGGCCTTTCATCCAATTCTCCAGCACATTTATTTAAAAATGCTGGTGATCTGGCTCTTTTTTAAGCTATTTCTGTAACCCTGGACTTAAAACTTTCCCAAAATCTGTCTCATTGGTATGATATTTTCTGTTCTATCCGGTTTGACTTTCAATATGTCCAAATGCTTTGAATACATATTTATCCCTTCTCGATGGGTTCATCGTCGTGATCCATCTGTCACTTCCACAGAACCGATAACTAGAGTGGATTATGACAAATACCTAGGAATCACTGTCGATACTAATTTGAAGTGGCTGACTCACATTCAAAACTGTGTGAAGAAACTCCATAGGCTATCTTACCAAATCCGAAATCTTAGGCATTTAAATGTCAAACAGAATGATATTTCTCTTTTCGTTTATGAACGTGTATTTCCTATTCTACTTAACTGTTTACCTGTTATTCTTCCTGGTCCGCTGAAGAAGGATTCTAAAATTGTTCATGGAAGTCCATTCGTCGTCAGCCGGGTATTTTCAAACTCTTAACTGCATTATGTGCTTAATTGTTGGAACTACACCTAGTTGTATTTGGAAAGTTCGTTCATGAAACCCTTGCCAACAGCACTCATCCTTTACACACTGATTTATCCAAATGTATGTCTCTCGCTTCTACACATTCCTCCTTTAGATCCATTCCATCTCGTAATAACGTATACGAAACACCCCTGTTCCTTATCTTGCCCGAATCCTCACGAGGAAAATGGGTTTTATTAATATTCTGTGGCCAGAATGGCGTAAAGATACCGAATAACTTGAGCGGAGCATTTTGCAAGGCCGTATTGCTTGCGGTTTAGCTCTCTATATCTGATAAACACTTGTTGTACAGGATTTTGGCCCCGTAATTCAGTGATAAATGAACTTCAAGGCCCAAGACAGAGAACATCGGCTCACTCTATTACAAGTACTAGAGGACAGATTATCAGACAATAACGATAACATACCTCAAGTCATGTTCGAAAATCCAGTTGCATTTTTCACACCGAGAAGTCTGACGCCGCGAGCCGGAATCGAACCTCAAGTTGTGGAAAAACCGACCACAGAACCAAAACAGTCAAAAAATGCTTCAAGATGCTCAATTGACAATAGATAGGGAACGTTCGAGACTGCAAAACAAGAAGGAGTCAGGTAGCTTACGAAATAGGTTCCTATTTATGGGAGCCCTTTAGCCAGTCAGCGAACAGAAGAGAGATAATGATTCGAGATAACACATACACACACACACACACACACAAACGCGGATGAAGATCGAGCGCATTAGCGTGGCTATTGAGAAGAGCGAGATCAGTGGGAGACGGCTAAGTCCAGTCGTTCACACGGATAAGACCGAACGGGGGGGGGGAGATTACGTAAACGATGAACTCGAACAGATAAGAACAACTGCTAGACTCATGAGAATTGGGGTACTTCGACACCTGTCATAAAGACGAGATTGAAACGAACGGCATGAAGCAACATGACTGAAAAACAATGGTTACGCGGTTGTGGAAGCTAATCGTATGATCGGCGTTGAATTTAGTAGTGATAATGCATGAAAAGCAAGCAAAGAATTTGGTCAATACAAGATACATTTAGGACGGGACCTGGACTGAACCAACTTAACACAGATCTTCGATATGGCGAGTTGAAGTTCTTGGTCCAATAATTCGATAAATCTTTACTCTTGTCCAAAGAATGTTTCGATCATTCCACAATCGCGCGATAACAAAATGTCTACGGCAATTTAGGAACTCCGGGGAGTAACTAAACATAAAAACCCCACAATGGTATAGATTTAAAAAACAGTTGTTCCAAAGATGTTAATGTATACATTGATAAAATCATCGACGAGCACAAAATCCGGAGTAAATATGAAGACTCTGTCAGACACAATCGGCTCAGATTTGTTGAACTTGTTCTTCCTTCATTTTCCTGTCATTGGTGGCTTCTTCGGTGCATACCTTCTAGTAGTTTGTGTATTATATTGAAGAAGCTAATTCCTCCATAGGTGTCACGAGAGAACCAAAGAATCTTCCCGTTAATTGATGCAATCATATACTCATATCATTTCTTGTGAATCTCCCTAAAGTGCCAAATTTCTCAGAGAAGCCCTCTTGATTGCAACACCAAAGCTTCGCCTCTATCATCGGAAGTGCATTACGACACACCATCCGTTTCGCCAGCTTTCTAACTTTTACAATAACATATCCTTTGAATAAACAGCATTTGTGATGGAAGCATGGAGTTTCAGTGCACGGTCTTTGTTGCGAGTATTGCGGAAAGGTTCTAAGTGGGAATAAGCCATACAATCTAATCATTCAACTGACCCATTTAATGATGCAGATGTAGTTCCTATGGCGGCAGTGTTGAGCCGTTTGATCCCTTGACCAATTTGCCTGCATATGGTTTCCCCTGCCGTTAATTCCAAGCGAATAGTAAATATCCCGGAGATTTCCAAAAACCAAGGACTACTAATTTTTTCACATTTCACAGTCGTCCATCAAGCTTCCAGCCAGCTGACCACTAAGGGGTTAGTGCAAACCAATGAATTTTGCATACGTAGTGAAAGACCTACGAGTGTATAAGGAAATGTTGGACGTAAGCAGTATGTGAATTTCTTGAGGGCTGGCTAAATCGGAGTCATTTTCGTCATTGGTACTAGCAGTTTTGACAGTTTTGATTCCGACCCTAAATATTCAGTTATAAAGATGGCCACCCGGGAACCTTGCTTGGGATGCAGATGAACGGATGAAATTTAGAAGCTACTGTGAAGGATGATTGGCTTCACTGCCTGTGCAACTGCAGAACGGATGCATGTGAAACTTCTCGGGAGTCGGCGAGGCCGGATTAGTTCACGCCACCTTTGATAGTGGAATTCGGTAGTTATGATAAACTGTGTGCATTTGATCCGAGTGCAATCAGGCAATGAAAGCCAGACCTATGCAAGCGGAAATGTATGTGACAATTTATTAACCTTTGTGAAACCTGTGTGAAACCCTGTCTTTTGCAATATAGGTAAATTATTAATATAACAGTTCTATTCCATGAAAAGAACCTTACCACTCAGCATGTACTTTTGCCAAGTTAGATGACTCTTCAGTCACGGAGTTCATTATCTAGGTTTTGGATCTAATTTGGGCACAAAACTCTGATATCACATGTTATATTGTCGACGTTCTTGCGATTAACTAAAACAGACAGCAAACGTTAGACCGCGAGCCCATGCGTGATCGCGAATGGAACAGAGGGTGGTATCTGATGAAACCTTCTAAACGTTGATAAGGGCTCCCCATGATCGGTACCATTATTCCGATATCTTGTGGCGCATTGTCAAACAAATATGGTGCAGTCTTTTATAGGACGCATCCGCCACATAAGGGCAGACGTGACACGTCTCAAAAATTGTTCAATTTCCAATGTGGGCGTTTTGTGTTGTATCGTACGCGTTGAATATAGACTTTCATCATGCGATCCGATTGGAGGACCCTCAATCAGATGGGAACAGAAGACAACCACAACCTGAGCTTCAGAGTATATTACGAGGTCAAATGCGCTTGACATTTCAGTAAAGCCGAACAGATCAGATAAGACACAGATAGTTTGTCAGTTTGTCGGGTTGGTGGATTTATTACTGAGGAAATCCACTAAGGAGATCACTCGAGGGTCCCACCAGAACCGAGCAATGTTTCGGGTGCATCGGTTGTCGAACACAGAAAGACGCTGAGTGTCCTCAACACGAAGTGGCCACGTCTCATCAACGTGGAGTTAGGCACCAAGAACCATGGTGACGTACACTCGTCCATTACGAGAGAGCCGGATCAAGCGGCGACACCCCAAGTATCACAGGTTTTCGAAAGCTGCTGTAGTTTTCGCTATTCGTGATTCGATCTTCTCCCCAACACGATTTTCGGTTATTATCTAGCTGTCGAGATTCCCAAATTTGTCATCTAACTCTACCTGACCACCATTAAGAATGAGTGCAGGTACAAGCTGCTACCAATCTTGTAAAAGTATTTCGCACTTGGAAGACACAAAACGCATACCACATCTGGATAACTGAATCACCAGTCGGTTCAGAGCGCGTTCAACTGCCTGTGTATTGTCACTCATCATGACGATATCATGGGCATGTTCGAAGTGGAAGGAGCTCAATTCCACCAGCTGGGAGATCAGACAAAGCACTCCGTAGAACATCCCGTATGTGAATTTTGAAAAGGAATGGAGGAGACAGTGCAACCTTGTCGTGCCTGTTCGTGACTGCGTTGTCCCATTTATTTTCGACGACATCCAAATCCCATGCTTTGTTCAAACGGAAGTTAAGGAAAGTTATTGAACTGACATTCCAAAATAAATCAAAATGTTGGTTCGCCAAAATTAAAAATTCAAGAATATGTCCCACTGCATTCTTTGTTTGTTCAAAAGTATTCTTACCATGTCTTTTGGGTGTTTCAAAAGGACTATATTGGGACCTTTGTGGCTATTATTTCGACTGTGGAGACACTTCTCTTCACATTCTTGGACCTTCAACATACATTCCTCTTTATGCCCAAAGAAACAGATTGGAAGAGATATTGAGGCTGAAGATTCCCCTCAGTGCGTGGAAATGCACCAATCTAGAACAAGTCAAACTGTAGTAGCATCAGTGTTTGTGTCCCAGATTGCAATTGATAGATGAGTATTAACAACTGAATAGTACTCAGTAATTCTTTCAACTTTGGGCCTTGCAGTTACGGTTATTCCTGGCGTTGAGGCTGTTGCAGAAGCACCGCAAGAGTTGTGGATGGAAGAAGAATTGCGGTTTTATTATGGCGAAATGATTGTCTTTTGTTCTGCCTCATTAAGTCTAGTAAATCGACTGTTCTGCCATTCAATAATCTCATTTCATTGGAACCAACAGACGGTTATTATCAGAAGCGTGGTGATCATAGCCAAACATTTGCATAAACACTTATCGATTCATTTGTTATTCATGAACGGCTCTTCTGGCCATTCAGTCTACTTGCAACCCAATTGGTTGACTCGGCCTCAGTCGGTTAAGGAAATTCTATGCAACTGATTGATTAATCGTCCCGCTTCCCTGGTTTCAATTCTGTCCTCAGATCTGAGCTTGTGATGACGTGCTGTGTGTCTGCCAAGGTATCGATTTGCTTCGCTGTGTTCAGCCTTGCCCTGGAATGTGGACTGTCAAAGATGTAATATCTGGTAAATGAACCAGACCGTCCAAATGTGATACGTCTGTCGATAACCTCACAATTGGTGCTTCTTGTTCTGCAGCAAATTGTCTCAGAAATGGCCGAACAAACATCGAATCGAAATTTGGCTGTTCACTCTTCCAAATGTGCATATTTACTAATCTCATTTTTAAAAGGTGCGGGATATACAATCAAACAATCATGTATCGTTTGAATTTCCGTAGCAAGGAATCTGTTATTTTTGGAAACAATAGTTTGTTACTTGATCCCGTGTGTATGTATACGAATAGCGACAACCATTCATTTCACAAACCATGCTTCAATTGTGAACGAAACGCACGAGGATCGGGAAAATATCGATCTCGTTCGGTTGAATATACATACATCTATTGATATTTCCCAATCACGGTAGTAGGAGAGAAAATGAAGCAAAGCTGAATGAAATTTATTGTTTAGTGCATTTTCATAATAACAGAAACGTATCACGGAAATCGTGCCACCATCGGGACACTGGCCAGCGAAGCAATTCCACACATGTTACCTCGGTTCCTAGCCATTCGAATGTAACCGCGCTCACCCCACGACAATCCCCAGCTATTTTTCACAATCCAATAGTCAGTACCACCCTGTGTTCCATAACCGACAGCCAAGACTGCATGATTCAAACCAAGCGGTGAACAAGTTTGACTCTGATAAATACCACTCCTGTTTGAACAAAAACAACGATATAAATATGAATATGATAACGCAAGTTTGGAATTGGAATGGTGCTTAGAATGATTGAAAGTACAAAGGAATAAAAGAGAGCGAGCACTTACAATATGTGAATCGGAAACAAAAGCCTGTTTAACTGGGAACTACTTACCACGATTTGCGTGCAATTGGACGTATTCGAAATGGGCAAGTCAAATCATACTTCTCCCAAACCGACTTGTGACCGGGATGCGAACGAGCATAAATCCCAAGTACGACATGTGGTATTTGACAATGTACCATACACATGATCCGCAGTTACAATTACAATTAGAACTGTGCTAGTGTAACACTGAAGATAGATTGCCTGTGCCAATTAAAAAACAAATGTTGTCTATTGAGCCCATTTGATGCCCGTGAAACGCACGTTCAAACTGGTTGGTCAAAACTGAATGAAGCCAAATTTGATGAATATTGTACTCCATAGGGAGAGAACACAAGTGTCATTCGGTCTGAACAATCCAGTGAGCAGTTGTGTGGAATCCGGAAATCCAGCAATCATACATACGAGTAAGCTGGTACATCACACATGTATCGATGACGAGGAAAGTCGAACGTTAAACTGATAATTGAAAATCTATAACCTATCTGTCTCACATATTCTCTCCTCTCTCATTCTTTTCTCCCTTGCTCTCCCTCTCTCTCGACTTAGTTTGTCATTCGTCTCGTCCGATTGACATAAAAGCACGTACCTGTACATCATGAAGTCAGATTCAACATCCACAGCGACCGCAGCAGGTCCTTCGGAACCGACTAAACTTTTCAATCCTGCCTCATTGCCAGAATGCAAAGTATAATAGCCAGTCACTTTGGCAACTCCCAACTGCCTATTGTATCGACACTGACCTTCCTGAAATGGGATCAAATAATAAGTGAATTGAGTAAAGTAGTTGATAATAACAGAAGCAATTTTTTGTGAGATCATATTGGTGTAACATAGTAAGAGGTAAAATGACGGGAGGTGTAAGCAAAATGACTCGGAGGAGGAGCGCACAGACAAACAGTACTCACCACAGCCCTGTACGGATAAGAGGATTCGGTTTCCAATCCAAATTGTTTCAAATATTCATACGCATTTTCCATCAATCCACCACCGCAACCATTATTTCCCCAAGGACCGCTACAATCGACCAGTTGTTGCTCAGAGAATGAAATACTAGTTCTCTCGTTTTTCATATACTGTCCCTCCATAGTACCGGTTGTTGAGAAAGCCCAACAGGAACCACAGTTTCCCTTTTCAAATCAAATCATCATCGGATTATTGGGTGTTCACAATCTATTCTCACCTGATCTTTCACCCCCGTCACATAACCAGATTCACGCCAGTCAATTTTGTCGGGTACGGCACGGTTGTTCGCCTCATACGGGATACCGTGTGAGAGTATATCGGACGCGCGTGGCATTTCGGTTAGATATTTGGCCTTGAATTCCTCGAATGTCATATCAGTGAATTGGTTCAATCCCAATGTGTAGGTGACGAGGCCGAGATCGTGACGTAGGTTGTGTTCTTGAATATGTTTCACATTCTCTTCCCAAATATTTCGTCTGTGCTCATCGTCAGCCCCATTGTATTCTTTATTGTACATTCGCTTCCATTGATGCCACAAATCATCATTCGAGCCAAGCACTCCGACCGTGAGGACGGCTAATATGAACAATCGCATTGTTTGCTTAGTAGCGGTCGTTCTGTCTAATCAAGCTCAGATTCTCCCATATGTATATATATACATATATATATATATATCATACATAAATGTATGCATACATTAAAGCCCACAGTTAAGATGTACAAATTCCAAACGACGATCTGAGCTACTTTTGGGCGTTGCTTTGAGAGCTGTAAGATTAGAGATGGTAACACAGTGATTGTGACGCTGTTTGATGTTCAAAGTTCAACAAACGCAGCAAGTTAGTCCATTCTTTGATGTATAGAGTCTACGTGAACGTGTTTGCGCAGATCCACTGATACCATGATTGAAGTACCAAAAGTATTCGATCAAAAGGTCAACATCTAAGAAAACCACGCCCATCTCAAAATGTTTGGGGAAAAGTATATCCATTCAAACATGGCAAATTGAGTCTAATTTTCATACTGTTCTCGTATTCATACAATCGATGCGAGCTAGTGAATTCTTTACATCAATGATGAGAAACAACTTTGCCATTAGTTTTTCAGGTGAATCAGTCGTTGTGGAGCTTGCTGTGATGATTTCCAAATCGATATTTATCACTTGTCTTCTGTTCCTTCTGGATAAGTAACCCATACGAATTCGCGAAACGATCAAGAACACTCATCAGTTACATAGTGAAAGAATATTCTGACTTTCCAATAAATACTCACTCATTTGATGGAAGATGAAAAAAGTGACCAGTCCATGACATGGGAGAAAAGTATGTAAAGCCCAGCGAGTGAATTTGGCCGTGTAGAGGCGTGGTTGACTTCCTGGGAGTGGTCCAAGAGATTCCCCACTCAGTAGTGAGATAAACTGGGAAATATGACTAGGTGCAGCGATAATTGGAGCTGTTGTGTACGAAAACTTTATATATGAACTGGATAAAATTTACAGCTCTTTCCGTTCTCATCTGCAATAAGTATTTTCGATTGAGGTTGCCGCTGAGATAAAGCAACCAAGGCCACTCCGCACGGTGCACGGTTGATGAACTGAACTGAACCTACTCCACTGTACTCATCCGTGGGTCTGGAATTCGAAGTTGTCAGCATCATTATGTGATAGGACATTTAGACCCGATCATCCGTGAACCGGTAATGGACATTTCAAATAAACTAGATTCATTGAAGTCTCGCACATTCAGGAGACCAAAGTGAAAATACCAGAGTAAACCACAAACAGATTAGCAGCAAACACAACGCTACGAGATGAAATGCTGCTGATCAAATTATTGCACAAGTTGCTATTCCACCTGGCTTTCTATCCAAAGCGCTATTAAATTGACTAACATGATTCGTTTATTCATAATGAACGAGTTCATGTTGGTTTATATACTACTGACTGTCTACTCGACTTGCGTAGGTAGCACTACCCAATTCTTCTGGGCTGATTATTGGTACATTTGAATACATGCATCACAAATTCCGGTGTCGTTTACCGTTTTCTCAAGTGGAAAATGCAAAGTAATTTTCTCGAGGAAAATCGGACTAAGACAAAATCTAACTACTGGTACCGTGCCCAGTAATGTTACTAGACATTCGAATCTCGAGGGGTGTACCCACTGCCGAAGAATACCCGGCAAATGATCCCTCCAGCTTATCGATACCAGTTAATATTTCCAGTGCTACTTGGCACTCAAAATCACAATGAATCACGAATTTATCATGCGAAATATAAACGGCGGTATAGGTTGCGTGAATTCAATTCAAATTGTAGTGTCGGCTGCATGATTCGGACATTAGCTACAGTCACCTTGCGGTCCCAGGTATTCCATTCTCAGAATTGTGGAGCGCAAATCTGCAGAAATCGGTCCATGAATCCGAATTCTATATTCCAGTACAATAAAACAGCCATTCAGAACTTAAATGTAACCAAAACGTGGTCAGTGTTTCGTTGCACCAGTGACCCGGTGTAGTCAGTTGGCAGGCCTCGTCTCAATCAGGTTGATAAAAATTGAGAAATTATGCCTCGTCGAATATGTGAACATATCAAACGTGGTTTCAACAACCAAACTCGTGTAGGCACTCGAAGAAAATGGAACATCATCTGAGAAAATATGATTCAGCCTCTGATGAGAAGCATGTCCAGAATGTGTGTTGAAATCGTTGAATAATTTTCAGATTTGAATGGACCTAATGTTTAGCGATCAGAAATCTTGGTCAATATTGATTCCCACGTTTCTGCTAGCAATTTTACTCCCAATTGTTTTCCAATGGAAAACAAACTTGTCAGCTGTGACTCAGTAATAAAATAAAAAATAGGCCCCCTAATCATCTCTCCTCTCGAAAGACTTGGAGAAAATATAAGTGCATCCACGAGTCCGAATCAGATGAGAGTAGAACACGTTTGTCGCGTGGTGTATCACTTGGGTTATATTCTAGATGTAACACAACCGTGACTTGTTGCTTGGTTGTGCTTTGTGTATACTTCGCTATATCTCCTAAAGGAGAGTCGGAGCTGTCAAGATACAATGTGAATGCCAATTTCGTGACCCTGAATAGGAATTACACTCGTCCGGATGCTAAATCTCTTTTCCGTCGCGAAGAATGATTGCGATTTTCCGTCAGGGCAAGGTATGATATGAAAGCCTACACTGCATTCATAAATACGTAAAAGAGAGAAAACTTTTGTTTGGTACATCAAATGAGTGAGTATTTATTGGAAAGTCAGAATATTCTTTCACTATGTAACTGATGAGTGTTCTTGATCGTTTCGCGAATTCGTATGGGTTACTTATCCAGAAGGAACAGAAGACAAGTGATAAATATCGATTTGGAAATCATCACAGCAAGCTCCACAACGACTGATTCACCTGAAAAACTAATGGCAAAGTTGTTTCTCATCATTGATGTAAAGAATTCACTAGCTCGCATCGATTGTATGAATACGAGAACAGTATGAAAATTAGACTCAATTTGCCATGTTTGAATGGATATACTTTTCCCCAAACATTTTGAGATGGGCGTGGTTTTCTTAGATGTTGACCTTTTGATCGAATACTTTTGGTACTTCAATCATGGTATCAGTGGATCTGCGCAAACACGTTCACGTAGACTCTATACATCAAAGAATGGACTAACTTGCTGCGTTTGTTGAACTTTGAACATCAAACAGCGTCACAATCACTGTGTTACCATCTCTAATCTTACAGCTCTCAAAGCAACGCCCAAAAGTAGCTCAGATCGTCGTTTGGAATTTGTACATCTTAACTGTGGGCTTTAATGTATGCATACATTTATGTATGATATATATATATATATGTATATATATACATATGGGAGAATCTGAGCTTGATTAGACAGAACGACCGCTACTAAGCAAACAATGCGATTGTTCATATTAGCCGTCCTCACGGTCGGAGTGCTTGGCTCGAATGATGATTTGTGGCATCAATGGAAGCGAATGTACAATAAAGAATACAATGGGGCTGACGATGAGCACAGACGAAATATTTGGGAAGAGAATGTGAAACATATTCAAGAACACAACCTACGTCACGATCTCGGCCTCGTCACCTACACATTGGGATTGAACCAATTCACTGATATGACATTCGAGGAATTCAAGGCCAAATATCTAACCGAAATGCCACGCGCGTCCGATATACTCTCACACGGTATCCCGTATGAGGCGAACAACCGTGCCGTACCCGACAAAATTGACTGGCGTGAATCTGGTTATGTGACGGGGGTGAAAGATCAGGTGAGAATAGATTGTGAACACCCAATAATCCGATGATGATTTGATTTGAAAAGGGAAACTGTGGTTCCTGTTGGGCTTTCTCAACAACCGGTACTATGGAGGGACAGTATATGAAAAACGAGAGAACTAGTATTTCATTCTCTGAGCAACAACTGGTCGATTGTAGCGGTCCTTGGGGAAATAATGGTTGCGGTGGTGGATTGATGGAAAATGCATATGAATATTTGAAACAATTTGGATTGGAAACCGAATCCTCTTATCCGTACAGGGCTGTGGTGAGTACTGCTTGTCTGTGCGCTCCTCCTCCGAGTCATTTTGCTTACACCTCCCGTCATTTTACCTCCTACTATGTTACACCAATATGATCTCACAAAAAATCGCTTCTGTTATTATCAACTACTTTACTCAATTCACTTATTATTTGATCCCATTTCAGGAAGGTCAGTGTCGATACAATAGGCAGTTGGGAGTTGCCAAAGTGACTGGCTACTATACTTTGCATTCTGGCAATGAGGCAGGATTGAAAAGTTTAGTCGGTTCCGAAGGACCTGCTGCGGTCGCTGTGGATGTTGAATCTGACTTCATGATGTACAGGTACGTGCTTTTATGTCAATCGGACGAGACGAATGATAAACTAAGTCGAGAGAGAGGGAGAGCAAGGGAGAAAAGAATGAGAGAGGAGAGAATATGTGAGACAGATAAGTTATAGATTTTCAATTATCAGTTTACCGTTCGACTTTCCTCGTCATCGATACATGTGTGATGTACCAGCTTACTCGTATGTATGATTGCTGGATTTCCGGATTCCACACAACTGCTCACTGGATTGTTCAGATCGAATGACACTTGTGTTCTCTCCCTATGGAGTACAATATTCATCAAATTTGGCTTCATTCAGTTTTGACCAAACAGTTTGAACGTGCGTTTAACGGGCATCAAATGGGCTCAATAGACAACATTTGTTTTTTAATTGGCACAGGCAATCTATCTTCAGTGTTACACTAGCACAGTTGTAATTGTAATTGTAACTGCGGATCATGTGTGTAGTATATTGTCAAATAACACATGTCGTACTTGGGATTTATGCTCGCCCGCATCCCGGTCACAAGTCGGTTTGGGAGAAGTATGATTTGAATTGCCCATTTCGAATACGTCCGATTGCACGCAAATCGTGGTAAGTAGTTCTCAGTTAAACAGGCTTTTGTTTCCGATTCACATAGCGTAATTGTTCGCTCTCTTTCATTCCTTTGTACTTTCAATCATTCTAAGCACCATTCCAATTCCAAACTTGCGTTATCATATTCATATTTATATTGTTGTTTTCTGTTCAAACAGGAGTGGTATTTATCAGAGCCAAACTTGTTCACCGCTTGGTTTGAATCATGCAGTCTTGGCTGTCGGTTATGGAACACAGGGTGGTACTGACTATTGGATTGTGAAAAATAGTTGGGGATTGTCGTGGGGTGAGCGCGGTTACATTCGAATGGCTAGGAACCGAGGTAACATGTGTGGAATTGCTTCGCTGGCCAGTCTCCCGATGGTGGCACGATTTCCGTGATACGTTTCTGTTATTATGAAAATGCACTAAACAATAAATTTCATTCAGCTTTGCTTCATTTTCTCTCCTACTACCGTGATTGGGAAATATCAATAGATGTATGTATATTCAACCGAACGAGATCGATATTTTCCCGATCCTCGTGCGTTTCGTTCACAATTGAAGCATGGTTTGTGAAATGAATGGTTGTCGCTATTCGTATACATACACACGGGATCAAGTAACAAACTATTGTTTCCAAAAATAACAGATTCCTTGCTACGGAAATTCAAACGATACATGATTGTTTGATTGTATATCCCGCACCTTTTAAAAATGAGATTAATAAATATGCACATTTGGAAGAGTGAACAGCCAGATTTCGATTCGATGTTTGTTCGGCCATTTCTGAGACAATTTGCTGCAGAACAAGAAGCACCAATTGTGAGGTTATCGACAGACGTATCACATTTGGACGGTCTGGTTCATTTACCAGATATTACATCTTTGACAGTCCACATTCCAGGGCAAGGCTGAACACAGCGAAGCAAATCGATACCTTGGCAGACACACAGCACGTCATCACAAGCTCAGATCTGAGGACAGAATTGAAACCAGGGAAGCGGGACGATTAATCAATCAGTTGCATAGAATTTCCTTAACCGACTGAGGCCGAGTCAACCAATTGGGTTGCAAGTAGATTGAATGGCCAGAAGAGCCGTTCATGAATAACAAATGAATCGATAAGTGTTTACGCAAATGTTTGGCTATGATCACCACGCTTCTGATAATAACCGTCTGTTGGTTCCAGTGAAATGAGATTGTTGAAAGGCAGCACAGTCGATTTACTAGACTTAGTGAGGCAGAACAAAAGACAATCATTGCGCAATAATAAAACCTCAATTCTTCTTCCATCCACAACTCTTGCGGTGCTTCTGCAACAGCCTCAACGCCAGGAATAACCGTAACTGCAAGGCCTAAAGTTGAAAGAATTACTGAGTACTATTCAGTTGTTATTACTCATCTATCAATTGCAATCTGGGACACAAACACTGATGCTACTTCAGTATGACTTGTTCTAGATTGGTGCATTTCCACGCACTGAGGGGAAGCTTCCGCCTCAATATCTCTTCCAATCTGTTTCTTTGGGCATAAAGAGGAATGTATGTCGAAGGTCCAAGAATGTGAAGAGAAGTGTCTACACGGTCGAAATAATAGCCACAAAGGTCCCAATATAGTCCCTTTGAAACACCCAAAAGACATGGTAAGAATACTTTTGAACACACCAAGAATGCCGTGGGACATATTCTTGAATTTTTAATTTTGGCGAACCAACATTTTGATTTATTTTGGAATGTCAGTTCAATAACTTTCCTTAACTTCCGTTTGAACAAAGCATGGGATTTGGATACGTCGTCAAAAATAAATGGGACAACGCAGTCACGAACAGGCACGACAAGGTTGCACTGTCTCCTCCATTCCTTTTCAACGTTCACACACGGGATGTTCTACGGAGTGCTTTGTCTGATCTCCCAGCTGGTGGAATTGAGCTCCTTCCACTTCGAATATGCCCATGATATCGTCATGATGAGTGACAATACACAGGCATTTGAACGTGCTCTGAACCAACTGGTGATTCAGTTATCCATATGTGGTTTGCGTTTTGTGTCTTCCAAGTGCGAAATACTTTTACAAGATTGGTAGCAGCTTGTACCTGCACTCATTCTTAAGGGTGGTCAGGTAGAGTTAACTGACAAATTTGAGAATCTCGACAGCTAGATAATAACCGAAAATCGTGTTGGGGAGAAAATCGAATCACGAATAGCGAGAACTACAGCAGCTTTCGAAAACCTGTGATACTTGGGATGTCGCCGCGTCATCCGGCTCACTCGTAATGGACGAGTGTACGTCACCATGGTTCTTGGTGCCTAACTCTACGTTGATGAGACGTGGCCACTTCGTGTTGAGGACACTCGGCGTCTTTCTGTGTTCGACAACCGATGCACCCGAAACATTGCTCGGTTCTGGTGGGATCATCGAGTGATCTCCTTAGTGGATTTCCTCAGTAACGGATCCACCAACCCGACAAACTGACAGACTATCTATGTCTTATCTGATCTGTTCGGCTTTACTGAAATGTCAACCGCATTTGACCTCGTAATATACTCTGAAGCTCAGATCGTGGTTGTCTTCTGTTTCCATCTGATTGAGGGTCCTCCAATTGGATCGCATGATGAAAGTCTATATTCAACGCGTACGATACAACACAAAACGCCCACATTGGAAATTGAACAATTTTTGAAACGTGTCACGTCTGCCCTTATGTGGCGGATGCGTTCTATAAAAGACTGCACCATATTTGTTTGACAATGCGCCACAAGATATCGGAATAATGGTACCGATCATGGGGAGCCCTTATCAACGTTTAGAAGGTTTCATCAGATACCACCCTCTGTTCCATTCGCAATCACGCATGGGCTCGCGGTCTAACGATTGCTGTCTGTTTTAGTTAATTGCAAGAACGTCGACAATATAACATGTGATATCAGAGTTTTGTGCCCAAATTAGATCCAAAACCTAGATAACGAACTCCGTGACTGAGGAGTCATCTAACTTGGAAAAAGTACATGTTGAGTGGTAAGGTTCTTTTCATGGAATAGAACTGTTATATTAATAATTTACCTATATTGCCAAGGACAAGATTTCACACAGGTTTCACAAAGGTAAAGAAAGTGTCACATACATTCCCGCTTGCGTAGGTCTGGCTTTTGTTGCCTGATTGCGCCCGGCTCAAATGCACACAGTTTATCATAACTACCGAATTCCACTATCAAAGGTGGCGTGAACTAATCCGGCCTCGCCGACTCCCGAGAAGTTTCACATGCATCCGTTCTGCAGTTGCACAGGCAGTGAAGCCAATCATCCTTCACAGTAGCTTCTAAATTTCATCCGTTCATCTGCATCCCAAGCAAGGTTCCCGGGTGGCCATCTTTATAACTGAATATTTAGGGTCGGAATCAAAACTGTCAAAACTGCTAGTACCAATGACGAAAATGACTCCGATTTAGCCAGCCCTCAAGAAATTCACATACTGCTTACGTCCAACATTTCCTTATACACTCGTAGGTCTTTCACTACGTATGCGAAATTCACTGGTTTGCACTAACACCTTAGTGGTCAGCTGGCTGGAAGCTTGAGGGATGACTGTGAAATGTGAAAAAATTAGTAGTCCTGGGATTTTGGAAATCTCCGGGATATTTACTATTTGCTTGGAATTACCGGCCGGGGAGACCATATGCAGGCAAATTAGTCAAGGGATCAAACGGCTCAACACTGCCGCCATAGGAACTACATCTGCATCATTAAATGGGTCAGTTGAATGATTAGATTGTATGGCTTATTCCCACTTAGAACCTTTCCACAATACTCGCAACAAAGACCATGCACTGAAACTGCATGCTTCCATCACAAATGCTGTTTATTCAAAGGATATGTTATTGTAAAAGTTAGAAAGCTGGCGAAACGGATGGTGTGTCGTAGTACACTTCCGATGATAGAGGCGAAGCTTTTGTGTTGCAATCAAGAAGGCTCCTCTGAGAAATTTGGCACTTTAGGGAGATTCACAAGAAATGATATGAGTATATGATTGCATCAATTAACGGGAAGATTCTTTGGTTCTCTCGTGACACCTATGGAGGAATTAGCTTCTTCAATATAATACACAAACTACTAGAAGGTATGCACCGAAGAAGCCACCAATGACAGGAAAATGAAGGAAGAACAAGTTCAACAAATCTGAGCCGATTGTGTCTGACAGAGTCTTCATATTTACTCCGGATTTTGTGCTCGTTGATGATTTTAGCAATGTATACATTCACATCTTTGGAACAACCGTTTTTTAAATCTATACCATTGTGGGGTTTTTATGTTTAGTTACTCCCCGGAGTTCCTAAATTGCCGTAGACATTTTGTTATCGCGCGATTGTGGAATGATCGAAACATTCTTTCGACAAGAGTAAAGGTTTATTGAATTATTGGACCAAGAACTTCAACTCGCCATATCGAGGATCTGCGTTAAGTTGGTTCAGTCCAGGTCCCGTCCTAAATGTATCTCGTATTGACCAAACTCTTTGCTTGCCTTTCATGCATTATCACTAATAAATTCAACACCGATCGTACCCTTGGCTTCCACAACCGCGCAACCATTGTTTTTCAGTCATGTTGCTTCATGCCGTTCGTTTCAATCTCGTCTTTATGACAAGTGTCGAAGTACCCCAATTCTCATGAGTCTAGCAGTTGTTCTTATCTGTTCGAGTTTATCGTTTACGTAATCTTCCCCACCCCCCAAACCCCGTCGGTCTTATCCGTGTGAACGACTGGACTTAGCCGTCTCCCGCTGATCTCGCTCTTCTCGATAGCCACGCTAATGCGCTTGATCGTCATCCGCGTTTGTGTGTGTATGTGTGTGTGTGTGTGTGTGTGTGTATGTGTTATCTCGAATCATTATCTCTCTTCTGTTCGCTGACTGGCTAAAGGGCTCCCGTAAATAGGAACCTATTTCGTAAGCTACTTGACTCCTTCTTGTTTTGCAGTCTCGAACGTTCCCTATCTATTATCGATTGAGCATCTTGAAGCATTTCTTGACTTTTTTGATTCTGTGGTCGGTTTGTCCATAACTTGAGGTTCAATTCCGGCTCGCGGCGTCAGACTTCTCGATGAGAAAAATGCAACTGGATTTTCCAACATGACGTGAGGTATGTTATCCTTATTGTCTGATAATCTGTCCTCTAGTACTTGTAATAG